AGGACTTCTCAAATATGATGGAAAGTGGCCTTGAAAGAAAATACCAGTTTCACTGTATGATGAGTAAACTATTTTTACTCCAGTGTATTTAATCTTTTTCATGATTTGTAATGTGACTACCATTGTGATATTTTTCATTAGTCTACTGGTATACCAAGTAGGCAGTTTCACCTCGCTGCAAATGTTCCTGAAAAGATGTTTTATTGTATTTTAATCATTCCAAGGACTATCATGTGTCAATACAAATGCCAGTGCAGACGAAGCAAGAAAGAGTAAGAAAAGATGAAGTCAGTATGGAAAAACAATTACATTCAGCACTGATAGCAAGTAAGTTGTTGCAGTAGTGCACATAAGGGAGTTTAGCATGTCACTCTATTTTTTGAAGACTGAGGGGGAAAAAAAAAAAAAACAACAAAAAAACAGCCATAAGGAGTATGATTGGACCCTGAACTGTCTAATTTAGATGCTATTTTCTTTGACACTTGTATCAGTCAAGAGCAAGATGCTTCAGCGAAGAGCCTAAATATAAGCTGCCGAGAAGCATAGTAATCTGCAGCACAAAGTCATACTTCCCTGTATTCAAAGGGTTTTTTTCCCAGAAAGCTTATATCCACTGACTGAGTCTGTGTTGCTGTATGGGCTGGATGGCCAGGATTTGGCTCTCAGCCATAGTTTTTGCCACTGTATCGTACCTCAGTGTTTAGTAAGAATAGGACTGCATGGATTCTTACTGACTTTTACTGATACTCCTTTGAACAAGGTGGCTTTTGCGTTTGACAGTATATATTGGTTTATCCTTTTACCTATCAGTTATTTTGTAATTCTCATTTGTATAAAGAATAACTAAATATATTATACACTAAAAGGAGCGATTGCAAAGGTAAGCACTCCAAATTTATGAAATGCCAGAATTAAGATTGCAACGGAAGTCCTCATTTGTTCCCTTTGTATCAACGTCTTAGATAAGTATCTGAATTGTGAGAACCCTTTTTGTTCTCTAGAAAACCATCTTAATGATTCACATGTATCCTCTGACCAGTGTAGACGTAGGACTGCGTACTTTCTCTATGGTGTTTATATTGTTGCATACAACCTGGTTTGCAAAATGTTATTATAGTACCACATTATATAACTAATGTATAGTACAAGCACAGCTTGCATTCATGAACAATCCAAGTTTGTGTTTAATGGCAAGTTTCTTTCAAAGAACATTGATCAAAGTGTAACTGAAACATCTATATAAAGTAAACCTTTTACAGAATTTATTCTTAGCAGAATTTGCAAATAATTATCCTGCTGTTCCCCCAGATAAGCGTCAGTATTTGAGCAAAGTATAAATTGAAGTCAAAAGGTTAAAAGTGATTGCCTACAAAATCCCTTAATCCACATTGTGGAAACATGATTAGGAGGTGGTCAAAATTACAAAAAGCCCAAGTACTCAGAACTCCAAAAGTAGATTAGTTGAATATTCCATAACCTCTGTAAATGAAACTCCATATTTTTTCTGCATCATATAGACACATAGTTTAGACAAATAATACAAGAGGTTTTGAGAATTCAAACTAATACTTGTATCTTTACAGAAAGATAAGGAAGACCAGTGGCTAGAGAAAAAAGTGCAGGGTAGTAGAGACCACATCATCTTAGAGCATCTTCAATGGACCATGGGTTACGAAGTACAAATTACAGCTGCCAACAGACTGGGTTATTCTGAACCAACACTGTATGAATTCAGCATGCCACCAAAGCCCAACATTATTACAGGTAAGTTAATTTTAAAGTGTTTTCTCTCTATGAATTGTTTGCTACTTATAGTACACTAACTTGTATAGTTGAACATCAGGTTGCTAAAGTCTTCTTTAACAAAACCCGAGACCCTATACTCTGTTTTCAGCAAAGAATTCAAAACCCATAAATGGGACCCCATTTCTTACTTTTCTCTTAGTAATAAAGTGATTTTTAGGTACAAAACAAACATTGAATCTTCAACCTAGATAATGACATTTAACAAGAAATACAATATTTAAGATACACCTGCTATACATTTTTAACTTGCCTTGTACTGCCTGTTTGTCTATTGTAAGCAACTTAGTTGTTGGAATTCTTGATTTCAGTCTAACTCATGTGCTTCAAGATACAAATGTAATAAAGGTATGTACTTTAGTGTCTGATGAGGTTAAGACTTCAAATATTGTTGTTTAGATATCATCTTACTGATTCACCATAATACAGTGAGCATACAGCCTTCTATTAGGCCTATTTACAAGCTTTGAAATCTATAGAAATGTTGTTCATATTTTAAAGTGTGTAAATAGGAAGTTTTGGATTTTTTTTAAGGAAAACTGCATAGTATTTAAGAGTGAGTGTGTTTCAGTGAGTAATTTGTCAAGTTTTAATGCTTCCCAGTATAAAGTTATATTTTTGGTGCAACATATCAAAATTATTTCATTCAGAATAAACCTAAAATATGATGGTAATTTCTCATATATAATGGGTAATTTTAATTTTTATAAAGCAAATGTTATGAGGAAGATATTTCAAGCTTTTTATCTAAATTGTGAACTGATATCTTTAATAATAAATTCCAAATTAGCTCAGTGTCATCATTACCATTTTAAAATCGATGCTAAATCCTCTAACACAGTACTTTCTATATGCCATATATTAAACTATCTGAGTATTAGAATCAAATTAAAATCTTGCCAAATAAATATAATGGCCAATATATTAAAATGTAAACCATATCAAGACCTGTGTTTCAATCTGAGCATCTGACTAGCGTTGATCTTAGTAAATTGGCTGTGCGTTTGAACAAGTCATAGACTGTGTCATCGGAAAACTTTGAAATAACTGACTAATTTTTTTTTCTGTCTATTGCAAGTTTTCTTTAAATATATTTTCAGGGAAGTTACCTCTAGATCTCTGCAACATTTTTTAATATTCTATAGCAATTAGTTGATATTAGAAGCATTGTTACTTGCATTTATAGAACAGAATAGACAGTTGTAATTCATTAATAGGTTCAGATCCAGTTCTAGTACAAATACGTGGTTTATGCACTTGAATTGCAATGGTGAGAGTTGATTTGCATCTTGATTGAAATTCAGGGCCTCAATAGGCCCTGTGTACTTGTTTTTAAACAGATAGTGCCTTGTGATTGCCATCATTCTGAAATAAAATTTCACTACATGATGGGAAAAAAAAGGGAAAAAGAAATGTAGGAAAGCTTATTGTCCCAAGGAAATAATTTATCAAGTAGAAAAATAAAAAAATGCCTTATTTAGGTAAATTGAAGGGATAAGCCATTTTTCAATTTTGTGTATTTGAAATACAAATGTTACTTGTTTTGCAATGCAATCTAACTTCAACCAGTTATAATTATTTAAAGTATTCCATATTATTGCCACAGCTGCTGTAACTGAGACAAACATGATACGCCTGCATAAATGATAACATAGATGGTCTCTAGACATTCAAGTAAAAAGCTACTTAGTTAATTCAGTTTCAGAAGATAGAACATTTTTCTCTGAACACAGTTTTATAGGTATTAAGGGGCTTTTTCTTTTCAGTGCTCTCCCATAACCTCGAAGTAGTTGTAAGAAGTCTGTTACACTATTTAACATCAGGTCTTCTTTATATGAATCATTATTGCAATTATGATTGTGGAACTAATTAGTTTCCTTGACAACTGGTCTTGCAAAGCCCGAAAAGAGTGTGAAATTCCCATCATAAGAACATTCTGTAGGCGATTTTTAAAAGTATGTCAGAAGACACTTACAATCAGTGGAACATTAATGTTCATATTCATGAGTCAGTACAATTATATTGTTTTGAAATGGCATAATATTATTATTGCAATATAATGTATATATAACACATTGTTGCAAAAGTATGAACCTACTCTCTTAAAACTTGATAGATAATGTTTATAAAATGCTTAACTTTGAGCAGAATAATTCTTTCTGAAATCAGTTAGTCAATTCAGATGTTGCACTATTTGTCTGCTTCGAGGCTTAGGTATTTGCAGCTAGGCATCTACACCTAGGTCCAAAGGAGGACATAGGCAACAAGAATGAAATTAGGTAGACTTTCGAATGAAAGCTGCATCATCTATCCTGTGCTCATTTAGCTGCTTCTGATAACTGAGATTCCCTTCCTGATTATTCATGTAATTATTAGAAAAGTTTCTAAGACTCCTGAAGGTTTTCATCTCTATGTGCCCAGATCTATGGCACTCCAGCTGAACTGAGTGTTTCTGTCTTGCTCTACATGTAATTAAAACCCAAAATGTCTGTAGATTCTATGTATGCAATCTCATGGATATTACTTACCCCAAGAGAATTTTGGGATCCCCTAAGGATCATGATGGTTAACTATACCTAACATACTATTCTGGTGAAAATGTGTGCAAGCTAATGCAATTAATCAGAGAACTGGAGAGAGATGGAGGCAAGGATACATTTGTTGTCTTTCAATGGGTGCTTGCCAGGGAAATGGGAGTTGTCACAAGAAATAAAACTTTGGCTCTGATTCCTGCAGAAGGAGTTTGTTTATGCTTTCAAGAACCATTGGATGTAAGGCAGAAGTAGTAATCCCTGAGGGTAGGGACTGGAAGCCAAAACTCTACTTATGTGAATACACAACTCCTGTGGGTACTGAATCCACAGCTTCTGCTTGCTGTGGAAGTGTGAGCAAGTACCAGCTCCTGTCTGGCAGTCAGATTCTATAATAACACAATATGATGATCTTCCATTACCAGTCTTAGGTCTAGGAAGAAGCCTGAAGCTGCAAATTGCTGTCTGGCATCAGTGAGGTGTATAAATGAGACAGACATTCCTTTAAATTTTCACATGCCTCAGCATCCTCCAACTACAGGTCTACTTGATTTTGTAATTTCTGTTCCTAGGCCTATAACGTGGTCTCCATTCACTGACTCACTCAAATTTGTGATTAGTTCCTCAGAATTTGAAATCCTTTTAATAAAAGTTTCCTGATTTTCTGAAGGATTTACCAATGGAACCTTACCCTGACTTGGAGAAATGCTCAGCAAACCAACTTCTTAAACCACTTTGCCTTAAATAAATATATGTATAAATATATTCATGTTTGTGTATATGTATAATACATACATTACTGTATATTATATCTATGTATATATAATTTTACTTCCTACTTTTTTGAGGGTTTTTTTTCCAGTCAGAAATTCCATCTTTGTATTTCACTTTTTACTTAGACATATGAACATGTATTTAAGAATCATGCTTTGAAGAAAGAGTGGCACAGTCTTCAACGTAGTATTTCATGTATGCCAATATCTCACTAGGGATGTTAGTTGGCAGCACTTGCAGGCATGTGCAACTCTAACATCAGCGTGCTTACCTCTGAGTGAAGTCTTTATCAGATTTTAAGTACTGATTTGTGATATTTTAGAAAATTTTGTTCTAGATTCTCTATAGTGTAAGCTGCTTCTAGCCCTCTGAGAAAAAAAGGGATTCTTAAAGGAGCTGTGTGCCTTAGCTCTTAGCTCTCTATTAGTGTTAGGACAGCATAGATTAACCTCTGCAGTCATAACAAACCTTCTGACTAGGTGTCACCGGGAACAGCTGAACTCCATCAGCTCCCAGAGGCAACACTACAGCCCTTTGGTATCTATCTCAGCAGGGCAGAGATAGAGATCCTGTCTTTGTACGGTGCAGCTGGTACAAAAGTGTACAAATCAGCTGCCATTCTCAACCATTGCTATTGCAACCTAAAAACACATCTACAGTTTTATATTTATTTAATGAGTCTTAAAATAAGATGAAATGGAAGGTGTTAAAAGAGGATACTTTCTGCAAGTATATTTTCAGAAATTAGTGTCAGATTTATGCAGGTGCTGTTTTCCAAATGCTTTTATCCAGTCAGTGCTGTTTCTCTGGAAGGCCAGTAGATGTATTAAAAATGGCTGCAAGTTGTGTTTTATCATAAGTTTTTTCTTCTTCATTATAAATTAATAACTTGGTGCAATAGTGGGAAAATGAGAAAAACATTTGGGGATAATAAGAAGCCCTTAGACCTATTTTTCTCACTTTGTGATATTGGTTGTTTTGGGTTTTTTTAACTTCTAATACTGCATGAACTGTCAGAATACTTTTTTATTCACATCCTTGGAAAAGTTTTAATCCCTTGTGTATCATCTCATGTACTTTTTTTTCAATGCATGTCTGTCACCGGTGCTTAAAATCATATAGTAATAGGCAAAGAGGGACAATCTAATACGTGGTATTTTCTCTCATCATCACTAGTACCAAAGATGATACTCCATGCCAAACATGATTTTTATCAGTAATTTTTTACAAAAATGCATCTTTAGGATCCCCAGTGGTGTCAAAGTGAATGAAAAAAAAATAAAAATAGCTCCTATCAATGTTACAGGTATGTGTGTGTATATATATATATATGTATTTGAATTTGTGTATGTACATTTTATGATGTATTACATAGACAAAATAGGGGTTTTGAACTATACAGACAGTATTTTATTAGAATAGAAGCTAGGATAATAAAGTTTTTCATCCAGAGACTGAAAATTACTAAACACAGAAAAATAGAAATAAGTCTCCCTCATGCCCACAGTTTTCTCTCAGGGTGTGTTCTTTTCTTAATTTTGCTCTCAGTCAAGCAATTCATTGACTTTTTTTTTTTTTTTTAATAGAAATAAATTCTATATGATCCCATCTGTGTAGCTGGGGAAGGTTTTTTTTCTGTCACCTCTTGCTGCCAAA